ATATTTACATACGAGTAATTGAAATGTGAAAATATTTATTAGAAACCTTCGTAATTCGAGACATATTTGGGGGATGACGTGATCGACAACTCGTGTTTAAGATAATAATGATGAGAATAATTATTAATAATTCACACAGATGTTCGTTAAAAAACCGATTATTTGTACTGAACTGTCATGCATTGCTTGGCATCAATAAAAATTAATTATTAGATAATCGACAGATAAAGTGACGTCTTCCTAACAAAATTTATGGCCATGCATGTGAGCTTATTAATTCACCAAATAGACCATTTTAGATAATTATTAGGTAATAAGTATTTATTATTGAGATAAAATCTTATATTTACAGTGTTATTTACTCGAATAATTAGATTAAAGGTGCGATATTTTATAATTTAAAATTTAAAATATTAGTGAATTTACATCTCGAACAATTCGTAATTACTGTCTATATATCCCGTTTATAAAGCATTCGTAGTTAAGCGGACCATTATTTACAAAAGCAAAGCTTCTAATTACGAGAAATCAAGACGTTCGAAAAAAAAACTAGTTATCAACCCAAAATAAAAATGAAAAATATATATACGTGTGAATTTTGTTTTTTAATTTAAGTAACGCCTTTACTTTATTAAATACGCTAAATTAATAAAAATATTCATATTTCAACAATATCATTTAAAAAAAATCTAAAAATACGTTTAAACTCTAGAAAATATATTTAACCCGTTTTGGATAAAAAACCGTTAAAAAAAATATAAACTTTCAAAATGGTTTAAAAAATATATTTTAAGTTTATTAAAAAATACCTTTAAATTTTTAATGTTTTATTAATGCTCTTAACAAAAAAAATTTAAAACTTAAAAGAATACCTTAATTTTTTAAGAAAAATTAAAAAAAAAATGTTTTATAATTAAAAAATATTTTTGACTAGTAACACGTTTCAAGAGTAGTATTAAAAAGTTTGGAGATAATGTAGATAAATAATTTTCATTCATATATTAACAATAAATTTTTAATATAATTCTAATTATAAGAGTATTTTTAATTTTTTTTTTAAATTAAACTTTTTTATTTTTATTTTTTGTTTCTTTTAAATTTTTTGAAACTATTAAAAGTTCAAAACTATTTATTTTAAAATTTCCATAATAAAAATTTAGATTTTTTTTTTGAAAGATTAAGATTATTATTAAAAGATTTGAAAGTTTATAAATATCTAGAAATCATTTAGAATATTAGAAAAATAATTTTTAAAATATTGGATAGAAAATTAGCCAAATATATAGTAATAAGATATTTGGACGAAGATTTAAAACAAAAAGATTTTTCTAATTTAATGTTAATTTTAAAATATTTATAAAATATTGCAAGATTATCTTTTACTATTTACCCCCAAATTATAAGTTGTTGGATTGACTCCACGAGCATACGTGGCCGATTTTGATTGGATAAAACAATGTCATTGGAGAATTCATCCGAAAAAGTCTTTGAAAGAGGAGCCCTAACTTTGAATTCCATCTTGGTTCTGCATCAGCTTTCATGATTCTGCAATTTTTCGTGTTCGTCTCATCTTCATCGACCTCCAACTGGATTGCCGCCTAGATCTACCCGGGCATAGATAGCCATAGTCGCCGATCAAACAGGCAAGATTTCAATTCGAAAAACAACTTTTTTTTTGTTGATGTTTGTGGATTTGCTCGGTCAATTGGGTTGTAACACCAAGATTACGGGTTTCTGGTTTACCAAGTTTAGTCAGACCATGTTGCAAATACATTACATTGTCCGCGTCGAGACAGAACAAATGTTAGCGCTGGAAAAATTGTAGGAAAATGCCTCTCCCGGCTGGTGTTATTGAATGTAGGGATGGTATTGATGAACTCAACATAGATCATAGGGAATTAATTCACTTCCGCAAACCTTAGGATGATTAATCTCAGTCGAATTTGCATGCATTTGTCGCGTGGATAAGACAAAACAGCGTGTATTTTGCCTGATTTTCTAATGATCAGTGCTTTTGGGCTTTGAGTGGGAATTGGGACCTGGAACTTTTTGGCATTATGTAAACGGAGGGAACCGGGTTGCTAAAATGGGTACATCTCATTCGTAAAGCTTCCTATATTTTATAGTTAAACTCATAGAGCTTTGACCTAGAGCTTGGGTTGGCCTCCATCTCCCTTTTTATTGGCCATCTTTTGGAAAATTCGATGGTGTATTAGAAATCTGAACATCTTAATTTATTAACTTCACATTGCCAAATCAATTATAATTCTCTTTTTGGGGAACCTAAGGGAGCCTTTGAAGCATTTAAAATTGAATTTTTCCCTCAAGCTACGAGGATCTCCCAGGAAGCATTGCATAAATATGCACACGATATGGGGGATGCAGAGGTCTCAAGTTCACTTATCTTCAATAATCTAGAAAGAGATTACATGAAGAGTTATCAAATATTGGAATTAAGCATAAAATGGACGTCACTCTAGTTTTTAGACCAGGACGTCCATGAGAAACCAGAAAATGAAGTTTCCTATAGAAGATCTTCATCATTGAAAATTCCCCTATTTCCCCCAGCCAACCCGGAAAAGCTCGGATTGCTTGGACAAGGAAAATCCTCACATTCATGAAAGGCTTTTTATGCATTACTTCTTAATTTAAATGTCGTCCATACAGATAATCAATTTACTATAAAGATAGGCAACAATGATATTTTAGCATCGATATGTTGTTTCATTTGGCTGACATTTCTAATTCTCACATGGCAGTGCAGTAGAGAATGATGAAGCTGCAAACATATGCGGGAATTAGTTTCATTGCAACTATAGTGGTGATATATCATGCCTTTAACAGTAGAGGCCAGTTCTACCCAGCGTTGGTCTATTTATCAACTTCCAAGATCAATCTAGTGCTTCTTCTCAACATGGGTTTAGTCCTCATGTGCATTTTGTGGCAGCTAACCAAAAAAATATTTCTTGGTTCTCTCCGAGAAGCAGAGGTTGAGAGGCTCAATGAGCAATCGTGGAAGGAATTGATGGAAATCCTCTTTGCCATCACTATCTTTCGGCAAGATTTTTCTGTTGCATTCCTTGCTATGGTTACGGCTTTGTTGTTGATCAAAGCTTTGCATTGGTTGGCTCAGAAGAGGGTTGAATACATGGAAACCACTCCATCGGTGCCGTTGTTGTCTCATATCCGGATTGTTTCTTTCTTGGGTTTTCTCTTTGTTCTAGATAGTCTGTTTTTGTATAATTCGATAGGTTCTCTGATACAGACAAGGAAGGCTTCAGTTTCCCTCTTCTTTTCATTTGAGTAAGTTGGCAATTTCAACCGTATGGTATATAACTTGCATCTGTCTTTGTACAAGCATAAACTATGATGTTTTGTGGTTAGAATGTCAAATATTTCAAGGCCATGTTAGAAGAACTAACAAATTATTTTTAAATTGGATATTTAATATCGTATATAGAGAATTCATGACTACTGTCTTTTTGTTTTTTTCTTGCTGGAGTTAGATCTTTTAAATATCCTATGATGTTTGTTTCTGGATCTCTGAGGATATTTTGTCATCATTAAATAAAGTCAAGGACTTGCTTTTCAGGTATATGATTCTTGCGACAACAGCCGTGTCAACATTTGTGAAATATATTTTCTATGTCAGTGATGTGCTCATGGAGGGACAATGGGAAAAAAAGCCTGTCTATACATTCTACTTGGAGCTTATCCGAGACTTGCTTCACTTGTCGATGTACTTGTGTTTCTTTCTTGTGATTTTCATGTAAGTAATCAAGCTACATTTCCTAAGCCTATCTCATTTGTGTGAATTGGAAGTTTGAATTAATCCCTTTCTGTAAAGATTTACTCATATTGCTTAAGCCCAAATGTCAAAGTAGGAGGATGCTGGTTTTTCTCAAAGAATATTATGCAAACTATAATAATCATGTGGTAACTGGGATTTGTGCCCTTAATATTGGCTGTCAGATTTTACTTTCATGTTAATTATGAGAGATGGCTCACAGGAGTGTCTTATGACTGACATGGTATTTGTTGATTGTTTTGATATCCTTTACATCCTTATTATTTTCAATCTGTTGTTCTTATTTCCCTTTTAGATAGAAAGAGGCAGAGCTTTCTGCTTTCATGCACACATTGCCACTAGAAAAAAGATGCTTTTGATTGTAGTCTTACGAATTGTTTTTTTTTGGAGTTTTTTGGATAAGAGCTCTGTGGTCATGATTTCATTGATAGACTGTAAACACAGAAAGATATTCATTTCACTAACACGGTTCCGTTTTGGACTTTCAACTATCTGTTCTCTCCTTTCTACTATATTGAATGCCAACTGCTTAACACATTTAACGATATAAGGAGGTTAAATGAAGCTCCAGATTAAGTGTATTATGCAAATTTCTTGACTTAAATATGCTGGTATTTAATATACGTTTAATAGTTTAAAATGCACGGTTTTATATCCTCTATTATTCTATCTTCACTGTATTTGCTCTTTATTAACTTCATTCTCTTTTCTCATTTTAATAATGCTGAGTTTGCTCTTGTAGGACATATGGCGTGCCTTTGCACTTGATCCGTGAGCTCTATGAGATCTTTAGGAATTTTAGGATTCGTATTGCAGATTACATTCGGTATAGAAAGATTACTTCAAACATGAATGATCGTTTTCCAGATGCAACACCTGAAGAACTCAATTCGTGCGTCTAAGCTTGGTCAACTTATTATGTCTATTATGTTTCCAATATTTATATTTCAGCTACTAAAATTCATTTTACGGAATTGCAGAAGTGATGCAACATGCATTATTTGTCGTGAAGAGATGACAGTTGCAAAGAAACTAGTATGTGGACATCTTTTTCATGTCCATTGCCTCCGGTCCTGGTTGGAGCGACAACATACTTGTCCCACTTGCAGAGCCCTTGTTGTACCACCTGAAGGTTCAAGCACAGCAGGAGGTCATCAGGGATTGCAGTCTGATGCTAACCTACAAGGTAATTGTGAAGAATTTAGTTTAATTTACTGCTTGGCTAAAAGATCTTAGATCTTGTGCAATTTTTAATTTGATAAATTTGTTCAATCTCTTCAATCACCATGAATTGACCAAGCCTTTCAATATGTACTTGGAGGGAATAGACTCAAGTCATGGTGGCCACCAACCTAAGTTTTAATGCTCACCAGTTTCTTAGGAAACCGAAGGTAGTAGGTCAGACTATTGTCTCGTGAGATTAGTCAGTTAGTGTGTGCAAGTTGGTTTGGACAATCGGGATATCAAAAAAAAAAAAAAAAAAAACTGATCTCTTCCATTTATATATTTCATCTAGTGATGGATTTGTTTGGAATCTTTCGTTTTCCTCAAAATTTCAACTAAGGAAGAAAAGCATGAAAGATCTGGAAGACACTTTTTCTTGAAGTATCAAAGCTAAAAGAGTACTCTTTGTTATTGCTTATGTTACATTCAGATACCTAGAGACATATCTGTCCCATCTGCCACGTCACCTACAAATTAGATAGTGCACAAATTTTCTGGTATTTTACTTGTACAGTGCTTCCCTGCATCTCAAATCTCTTAACGAGTGGTGCTTTTTATACAGCATCCACAACCCAATTTGGTTCAACGGTTCAAAACTATTAAATAATCCGGGTCATTAAGTAACAATGCAAAAATGAGCCATCAGTATTTGCAAGTCTTCTCTATACGTAGTATATACCTCACCATCAGGGTGAAAGAGTTGAAGTTTTGGTCTCTCACAATTCATTTCATGGGTGTTGAATTTCTTTCTTCTCTCATCTTTTTTCTTATTTTTTTTTGAATTCATGCATTATATTCGTGCTTGTTTTTATTAAGAGACTGTCCTTAAAGCTATCAAATATTCTATATATTTTTGTGTCCTAGCAATTCAAACTCGTCTAAAGGAAGTAGTTTGATTCTAGGAATGTCTACGAATTTAAGCACATCTCTTTGAGAACAGATGATCATTCTCGAACTAGACCTCTGGTTCTCTGTAAAAATTGGGTGCTTCATTTTATCTTTTCTTGTTTTGTTTTTAATTTTCTTATTGTCAGAAATGCTGTGGGTGTATTTCCAAGTTTTCCATTGAAATTCTGAAAAGCCTTTTCTCCACCTAAATCACTGTTTGGAGTCTTTTACTCGATCTCATTGCTTTGGATTAACTGCATTAACTGCATTAACTGCTTGATTGTTTGGTGCATGCCAGTAGAGCATTCTTTTCAGTGTATCTGCTTTCTTTGATAGAAGTTTTGGATGCGAATTATGGAACTGTTGGTTTCATTTAATTATTTTTTCAATATGGTAGTCTACCAGGCTGAAACTTGGATGTAATGACTGACCATTCTGTTGGAAACAGGAACAGGAACCACAAGTTCGTCTGCACAAGGTTCGGGTGGTACAAGTGCTGCGGGTGATAGTTTGGGTCATCATCAGGCTAGAGTCCAGGCTGCTGCTGCTGCTGCTTCAATATATGAGAAATCTTATGTTTATCCTTTTGGGAACACATTAGCATGGTATAGCTTTTTATTGCAAAATATGTGGTCCCTGTCTAATTCTCCTTTTTTTGGTCTTGAAAATTTACTTCAATATTAAGGCCATTTCTCCCCTTGTATATAACAGCCCTCCACCCCAAAGAGAGAGAAAAGAGTATGACATATATATATTATATAATTTATATTTTGTTTAATTTTATTTATTTCTAGGTCTCCTGGATATGCAGTAATTCCTCAGGTTCAAAGACCTTTGCTTGACTCCAACAATGTAGAACCGATTGGAGAACAAGCTCCCAATGAACAAGCACAATATTTTCCATTTACAGGCGGCCCTGCAAACCTGTCCTTTACTCAAATCCCCCAAAATCTTTTTATTCCTTTTCAGCCACGAGAGGGCACTGTAAACAATACGGATGGATTGGGCAGTAGTCAAAATATATCAGGCTCACAGCTTGAATCTCAAGAAAGATTTCTTCAACAACAGATTGAGGTATAATATTTAATTATAGCACGAACATTACCTGGTGAACTGTCTTGTTTAGTTAGTGTAGGTTCAGTTTTGGCTCTTGTTGCTGGACCCTTGTATATTCTTTAGCTCAAGGTGAGGTGATTCAATTAGAGGCTGAGAGGAGCTTGCTTGTATTTTGAAGGAAGAAATAAATAGTTTATCTTGTTTTTAGATCTTTCATTGAGAAAGCGTAAAGTTCTTCACACTGCTTCCAAACAACTCTATATTTTATAGAAACTCGAGGGTAGATAGAAGTGAAGAGGAGTCATAAAATCAAATTGTTAACAAGGAGTATGTGATAAGTGAAGGATATATACCCCGTAAAGAAATAAATTTGTATTTATTGAATTCCATTCACACTAATTTGACCGAGGCTGAGGGTCTTTCTTTAGGAGAGTCCACTTTTTTTTGGCTGAATGACCACTTCCTCTAATATGCAAATTTTCATTTTTGCCAACAGATCCTACAAGATCAGCTGCAACTTCTCCGTAAACTGAAAGTCGAGGAAAGCTCAATAGCAGGCGAGGCAGACAAGAAAGGGAAAAGCATAGCATCATCGTCGCAGTCATCATCTTCATCAGTTTCTGATTCTCATCCACACGGAGAAACGGAAAGGACGGTGGGATAAGAGAAATGTGCATAATTACAATGTGTAATAATACAAGAATAGAGATTCAGAATGACAGAGATATCTCTTGTTCTTGTATTCGGAAGATGTACTTGGTAAATTTTTAGAAGCAGTCTTCTTCCCATTTGCATAGCCGCGTTGGTTAGTTGGTTGTAAATGGTGGATTTGAGGCGTCCTTTTTGAAGCAATTATGCGACGGTCAAAAAGGAATGTTGAAAATTCTTTTTAGCAAGAGAAGAAGAGAGATTACATTCAAAGATGTTTGGTTGCTATTTTCGTAGTCTAAAAGATGCTTTTTGAAAAGCACTTAAATTCACATGCGCATGAGTTAAAAAGCATTGATTGTTTGGAAGTGGACATTTAGAAAAAAATAAAAAATAGCTTTGACAAGGTCTTACAGATAGTGCTATATGCTAATCTTGTTTTCTATGGTTCATACACAGCCATCCCCATTGACTCAAGAGTATCTTTTGAGTATCAAATGGGTTCTTAAAGTAAAAACATTATCTCAACAGGTTAAAAATGGTGTTGGGTTTATGATTGTTGTGGCTATGTATTTTTTTTTTTAGTTGAATTTTGGATGCTTTGATAATTAAGCATTTTTGTGTTCTTGGTTGAATCTCTATTTTGGAGTTGGACTATTTGATTTCAAGAAAAGAAGTGAAGGAAGAAGAACAAAGACCAAAGCAAATCAACGACTTTTCTTCTTCCGTTTTAATTCAACCCCCATCCCAATTTCCTGTGCAATTTCTTCTTCTCATTCCATGGAAGCCTGCAAGCTCTGCAACTGGTCAATTTTTTCGCTTCTTCTTCTTCTTCTTCTTCGTCCATAACATTTTCTTCAATTCCTTACTTCGAGTCTCCTCGACCCTGTTGCAGTCAACGGGGCTCCTTCACGTTTTGAGCAGTTTCCTCGAAGGTTCCCACAGAATCTGGAGCTCCGATTCGAGGATTCTATTGAGCTTTGACCTCTTGGCGCTCCTCCTCCGAAATCCCTCTGCTCACTATGTCGGATTGTTTCGAGTGTAAACTTTAGTGCGGGATTTTGGTTTGCGTTATGTCGGTGATGTTGCGTTCTTCGTCTTCTCTGTGGATAATTTTGGTGCTCCGGTTTGTTTCGCTGCTCTCTGCTAATCCTGAAGGTATTTGCTTATTGAATTTCTTGTTCTTATCCGCGTCGCTAATCCGTTCTTCTTTGGGTTTTGTTTCTGTTTTCCGATTTGATTCCGTTGACAAAATGAGAATACGAATGCGACCATCTGTGTTGTTCCACATGTTTGATCGCCGGAAAATCTGATATATAGATTACGATGCTTCGAATTATTTAGCTATCTAGGTTTATAGTTCAAACGAAGCATCTCTAGTACAGGCTGCCCATGTGATTACATTTTGGGATAGCATTGTACCGTTTGGAATAAGAATCATGGTTTTGTACTTTGCTGGAGATTTTGCAAATTTATTGACTGAGCTTTAGCCATATTGAAATTTAATCGAACTCGAAGATTTGTTTGGTTTCAGACTGTGATAATCTTCAAGCCTTCTGATGATTGCACGTTACTGTTCCTAGTTTGTATTGAATACGTTAACTGCTCGCTGCTCTTTGTGGATGCTCGTTTCTTGGACTAATTATTGCGTACTTTATGGGGGCAGGCGATGCTTTGTATGCATTGAAGTCGAATTTACAAGATCCCAACAGCGTATTGCAGAGTTGGGATCCAACACTTGTTAATCCCTGCACTTGGTTTCATGTCACCTGTGACAACGCGAATACTGTCATTCGAGTGTAAGCTTCTATGTCTACTAGGAGCTTGGAACAAATGTTGCTTTTGGAAATTATTATTATGATTGCTGGCCCCTCAATCTTTTCCTTCTTATTTGTCCAGTGATCTTGGAAATGCAAATCTATCTGGTACATTAGTTCCACAACTTGGTCAGCTTCCGAGTTTACAGTATCTGTGAGTGTTCACCGATTTGTGGCTACACCAATCTCTTTTTTTTTATCTTTGATTGTGCACTTTCATTATCTCTCTCTCTCTCTCTCTTCCCAGTCGAGTTGTCGTAGTTCAAGGAATTTATAGATCAAGCTTACTAGTTTTGTTTTTGACTGATCAAGGTTATATTTTCATCTAGTTTCTTACCAAATTTCATGAATTACGTTTCTTCTCAATGTTACACATCTTAGTCTTTATTCCTTTATACAGTCATCAAGGATTGCAGATTAGAAAGAAACAATAAACTCAAAGATCCAATTGACTGGATATGCTTAAAAAGTAAGAGTGAGGGAATGCAATTTATCTATGATAATTATCTTAGTTGCAAATAACATGAACTGATCTGATATGATAATTATCTTAGTTGAAAATAACATGAACTGATATGAACTGATATGATAATTATCTTAGTTGCAAATAACATGAACTGATATGATATGATAATTATCTTAGTTGCAAATAACATGAACTGATATGATATGACAGGGAACTCTATAGTAACAATATTAGTGGAGGAATTCCGGAGGAGCTTGGGGATTTGACAAACTTGGTGAGCTTGGATCTTTACTTGAACAATTTAACTGGTCACATACCCGTCACACTTGGCCAGCTTGATAATCTGCGTTTCCTGTATGGTTACACATCCTTAAACTTTCCCTCCTTTTGTAAACTTCTTTAGCATCTGATTTATATTTTCCTTTTCCTTTTCTTCCATGCTTTTGCTGCATGGTTGGTTTGTTTGATGTACTTTTTTGAGAATGGATTTTTGTTTTGTTTATTTTTGTTTCAGTTTTTTAGTAATTTGATTTAATTTGAAAAAGAAAAGAAAAAGAAAAAAGAAAACGCAAGACATCAGTTAACTTTTGTGTCATTTTGGTAGTAATTTATGTGAGCTCTGAAAGTATGCATAATAGAAAACTGCAAGTTTTAATCAATGGCTCTAGTAAATAATTCACTGATGACATCTTATTTGGAGTAAAAGGATGGATGAGATAGGATTTCGTTCCTTTAAACCACTAGTAGTTTTTACTTTTCTAATAGATTTTCCAATGAGAAGGAACAGGAACGAATAAGAAGGATGTGTTGGTTACGAAACTATCTACCCGTTTCTTCATTTTAAACGAGAAACCTGGCTTGAAGAACTTCATCCACAAAACACTGATCAACTTTATCAAAAGCCTTATAAATCCTCTTTTACCACCCAACACTATTTCTTTTTGCATTTTTCCTTTTTTATTAGTAGGATTTTCATAAGTCATAGGCGAAACTAATCGTTTGGGGGTAAGGCACTAATGCCTTTAGCGTTCTAATAAGGGCACAATAAAGTAAAGAGTTTTTTGCCACTCAATCCTGAACTTTCTTTTCTCCTTATTTTTTAAATAAGGCTTGTGCTAGATGCTTACATATGTTGGCTTCCATATAATCAAGTAGAGTAAATAAAGACCCACCCTTTGTGTTAGTTAGAATTAGTTCCTTGGACACTTGGACGTTGGCTCATGCCAACCATAGACTATTAAGGATCAGATTTGCACATATTCTATGTTATAGCTGGAAACTTATTTAGCTTCCTTTATGGGAGATCAAACAAAGCTCGATTAATTTTCTGCAAAACTAGAAAGGAAAACATACCTAACAAGGAACTAGGCTGGAAAATTGGAAATGGAATTTTTTGGAGGGAGGTCAAACAAACTCAATTACTCCCAAATGGCTTTTGTTGGAGGGAGGCAAATGCTATCCTTATTGTTGCTGAAGCAACAGATGATTACACTCTAGACAGAAAAGGGGCTTCATTACTTTAAAAAGCCTATGATAAGGTGGATCAGGCTACCTTAACCACATCTTGCAGCTTAAAGGGTTTGGGGATAGATGGAGGAGGTGGATTAGGGGTTTCTAGGCAAATTCCAACTTCTCTATCATGATAAATGGCAGGCCGCGAGGAAAATTCTGAGCTTTAAGAGGCATTAGACAGAGAGGCCCTCTCTTCCCCATTTTTATCCGTGTTGGGGTTTAGGAGGTGGTTAGGATTCCTTTTCCGAACTTTATTATTTGTGCTTAGGCCTTCCAAGCAAAGAGACCAGAGAAAGAATCAAGATTGTGGTATTATTTACCTTCACCTTTACTGCATGCTTAATATATATATTTGTTTACATCCAATCAAAGATGTCTATAACAGCTCTGCTGTCGTCTTCGAAGTTACTTTTATCACAAAGTCATTGGAAGGACAGTTCTCTTGATGCTTTCCTATTGAGAATGAGAAAAGGAGGGCTTTGTACCAGTTTACAACGGAAAAACTAACGTTAAATACTTTCAGACATATGAAGCTGTTTTGCATGTCCGTGCATTCCCAAAGCTGAACTACTGCTTTATAATTTATATTTCATCATGTCATCCTTATTCAATTCATACCCACCTTGATTCTTTGATTTTTTTTCCCGTTCTTTTGTTATATTTCTGTGCTTTTTTTTTGAACTCCCTCTTAAGTGGATCTCTTACATGGTTTTCTTCTTCATATATGAAATAGGCGTCTTAACAACAACAGCTTGACAGGAACTATTCCAATGTCATTAACCACTGTTAAATCCTTGCAAGTCCTGTGAGTGTTGTGCTTTTTAATATTATTCCAAGGGACCAGTTATTCTTTCTCTTTTCTGTCATTTTCATTTCCTTTTCTGTTTTAAGTAACATTATCATTCAATTGTACTTCAGGGATCTTTCATATAATCACCTAACTGGAGATATTCCGATCAATGGTTCTTTTTCTCTTTTTACCCCTATCAGGTAATAAGCTTTATGTCTTTTATTTTCTTTCTTTCTTTCTTTATCATATAACAGAAGCCCATTAAGAGTTGCTGACCTTCCTTCTCTACGCAGCTTTGCTAATAATAATCTAAATGAGTCTGCCGTTCGTCCTCCACCATCTCCTTTACCTTCTTCACCAACCCCCACATCAGGTTTGTTATCATATAAGTCTCCCGCTATTACTTTTTCTTTTAATATTATTATTATTTAAAAAACATATTTCTCAATATGAACATGTTTTGCAATATATGTTGATTGTATTTGATGTTATAAATTATTTTTACTGATTTTCTTGTCTATTGAGTGTGTGTTCAAGTTAAGAGAGTTCCAAGCCTCTCGGAGGCTTAGAGGTCTTCAAATTGCCTCATTGACTTAGACACTTTTACTTCTATTTCCTATATTTTCTTGTGTTTGTTTGAATATGAAGCTGTTTGGAAAAAAAAATATTATTTCTCATATTTTCATTGTCTATTTACTATAATTTAATTTATAATGCATTGTAATAGTTTTCTTTTGAAAAAAATGTATGGAATATAAATGAATAATTATTTAAGAAAGAAGTAAAAACACATGAAAGCAGTAGATATATAAGTCCAGCTAGCTGTCCAGCCATTAGATAATGTGGTCTTTCTTCTATAACATAGCATACTTATGCCTGGTTCATTTATTTTGAAAACTCAATTATCTCCAGTATTCTTCTAGATGCCATTTAAAATACTAGACTGTTCAATTAGATATAGCCGACGTTAGATTGTTCAACTTTGGCATTTGAAGCAATGTTGATATGGATAAGCATGGTTAAAGAAGTTATTTTGGTACTATGGTTGAACAGACATCTCAATCATGTAATATGGAATATGGATTTGAAGGAGTATCATGTTATATGGATTTGAAGGAGTATGTTAAAAAAAAAATTGTTCAAATTACCTCAAGATGAACTCAAGTTGCAATTCATGCCACGTTAAAGAAGAATCAAGCTTCTTGGATGGTTACAATTTTTGGGTGGATGATAATCTAGTGATAAGGTGTTTCATTAATGTATTTTAAGACTTTTTTATTTATTTTAAGGTTACATTTAGTTGCTATATAGTTATAAAAGATGAGGTTATATAAAGCATGTATGTTGTCTTTTAAAGTAGACTTGAAAAATGCAGTAAAAAGCACAAATGCAAAGAGCTAAACTTCTTTGCAATTCTATGTAGTTTAGGTTGCATGAGTAGAATCATTCAAGCTTGACTTGATCAATCTTGCTTGTGGAGTGATTTGAATCTCAACAAGTGTTCTTGCCTTGAGATATTTAATCAACTGGGTAATCTAGGTCTTACTTTCCCTTGGATTGATTGCTTGTCGTTTTGAGGTTCTTGGATATTTAGATCTACTATTCGAATCTCAAACAAGTTTGTTATAAATGGTGGGTTTTGGCTTTTTTCTACTATTTTTCGTTTCCTTCTTGTTTTTTATGCATCTTCTAGATTATCAACAAAAAGTTCGTTTCTTGAAACAAAAAAAAAAAAAAAAAAAAAG